TACAGGATGTGGCGCTAAACACAGTAATATTTAATATGATAAAATTAAATCAGAAATTTGCTAAAATGTAATTATGATAATATACACTCTGCTTGCTACCCACTCTATGGATGCCCACAACTAGCGAGTTGTTTAAAAACTTACAAAAAAGAAAGTTCTACAGCACCTATCAATTAATGCATTCACTACATGAGAACACTACCCTGATACTTAAAGCTAGCTAAAATTATGGCTTCACTAAAAATCATTATTATTCTGTTTTGCATGACAAAAGTTCTAAAGCAACATATTTACAACATTTTGCTCCAATTCCTCTAGGTCTTAGGTCTGCATATCAATGAATTTTGAAGTCACTTTAAAATACATCCCAAAATTTCCAAATTGTTGAAATTTGTAATAAGAAAATTCTGAAATCAGTTAAGTATACCACAAATGATATATCCTAAACTAATTTCAATTTATATACAAAAAAAGTGCCTCAAAACGACTCACATTTTAAAAGAAAAAATATTACCGAATTACGTCCTCAAAATATTCAAGGTCAGTAGCAGATATGCAAATATCTATGATTTCCTGGCATGCCAGAAACTAAAATTATTTATGATGCAAGCACAGTGTCACAATTAAACTACAGGCACAAGCAAAAGAGAACCATTCATATCTGGAACAAGATTTTCTACACACGCACCTGCAGATCGTAACAAATTTCAATCCAAAAGTTACGGATGCCAATAAACTAATTCACGTGGTATATGGACAGTAAACACATATCTTTAATAGCAACAGACATGCAATAGTGATAAGTTTAGTCAGTAACCAAAAGACTGCTAAACCAAACTGAATAATACACATAAACTGTGGTCTTCGGAGTTGTAATGACAACCTAACAAGACCACACAGCATCACAACCCAGGTCACGACTATCTTCACAGCCATGGGAACCTAAAAATGTCAGATAAATGTTACTTCTTTAATGGAAACTATGTTTCATGGAGGAATACAAGCATTATAAAAGGAAATACCAAGCCTTAAATTTGGTCTTACAGCATAACAGAGCAACGTCTCTCTGTTTTCAAATGCCAAGTTCCATATGTCGACAGTAACAAGTATCCATGGCTGTATTCTGCTTTAGATGCATTGTTATAAAGACTTGTATAACATCTACATTATGGTACTGGAAGTCCATGGAAAATTTGATCCACCTTGAATAATTCAGTCTCGGGTTGCATACACCTGTCCTGAGTTTGGAGATGAAAAAACAAGACCAACCAATTAAAAGAAAGATTCTGCCCACAATGGCAATGGACCAAAATATGATATAATTTCTGCACACAAAAAATTTGTACCCTGGCCTTGAAAACTGGGTGTGGGGAATTAGTTCCTACTGTGCACAGTATTTTCATTTCTTATTACGCATATCTATTTTCGGAGTCTATGAACGATGGGGGAGGGGGATGATGGCTGGCTGAGCTTAAAAAGTGGCAGCAGGCCTGGCCACAATAAAACAAATATCCAATATGTACCTACCACATGAAACAAAAGGCCAGTCTCAGCTTCATGAGCAGTACATTCTACTGTTACTGACAGACAACATTAAACCAAAACACGTTTTTAAAGTTGATGACAGTACATAAAGGATGACAGTTACTATGTCATATGTAGCTAAAATATTAAGCAAATATTCATTCAAATCATTCTATTCTCTTCCATCAAACTCGAAATAACTCAGATATGCAGTGTCCTGTTCTAATAAGAAATAAAGACAAGCATAACTTATAACTGTATATATCGCACAACCACTAAATTTATGGAATTACTGTATCACAACTGTTTCACAGGAAAGAACTTTTATCATGCACAAAGAGAACACCACTTCTTAATTAGGAACATAACCTTAAAAAATAAAAAAATAGTTTTAATTAAAATTAATAACAAATCATCACTACCTGTACTAAAAATATTGGTAATAAGCACCTAATAATTTCAAACAAATATTAAAGTGGATAATAATTATCCCAAATTCATTTTCACACGCAAAAAAAGGTACATACATAAATATTTTAATTCATAAATGAACACTAATTCTGCTGGAGTATGATAAACTTCACACATATACAATCTTACATACATCCACACAAACGTGTGCACATGCACATACGTTCAAACACACACAAACAATCTCCTGTGTACAGGAACAAAATTTTAAGCGATAAAGAAAGTGCCATTCCACCTGCAACGTATATATGAAGTATGTACCAAAACATTATACAGACACGTTAACTTGCTATTAATGACCACACTGACATAACATCACGAGATTAATACAGTGCAGACTTGGGGAAGTAAATTCATTACCATACCAATAAATTTAGATGCACATAGTACCAAAAGAGACGAGTGGCAATGTTTCATGTAAATTGAACTGTTTCATTAGCACTCCAGAGTACCTTTACAGACACACTCACATACACTCATCAACACTCATTACACTCGCACCAAAACAGACTATAGGAAAGACAGAGGAAAATGCATGCTGACGTATGTAACATCACCACCACTCACGACATGTCCCACTGCGACTCAAACATCACATCAGGATTCTGTTTTCTTCTTTACTTTTATTATTAATTTTCAGTGTTTTTATTGTTAAATTAAAATTAATCCCCTTCTTAATATTCCATGTTACCTTTTTTTTTTTTGAGCTTCCAGTATCAAGCTCCCAAAAATTTAGTTCATGTTCATTACAATAGAAGAAAAAGCAACATACATTTCAGAAATCCTGATGCTCTGTTTCATACTGTACACATGTAATATTACAATACAGGAGCTGTGTCAACACAAGATTCAAGCATCTACCTTCCAGGCAAAAGCATTAAGAATTTTGTATTCTGTCATTTTGCACAGCAGAAAGCAATATGACAAAACAAATGATATGAAAAAGATCACACATTGCAGACTCATATGCAGCCTGGAATTGATATGCTCATGTTTGCTTTTACATAGAAACTCTTTCTCAAGCTTCTTTCAGTTCTCCCCCTGCATGAATCGAGAGAACAAAACCAGAGCAAGAAAGCCTGACCGCGACTGGCTACTTCAAATTCTGCTGCATCACATTATTGCTGACAAGTCGCCACCTCTCAGTGCTACGGCACTTTCCATTATGGTTTACTTGTGAGGGGTGTGGTCCTACGGTCTGTAAACTGTGACCAGTTCTAGATCACACAAAGTCAAAAGTATTCACCAGAAGAAATAATAATTGAAAGAGCATTAGAAATTGTCAACTATACACATGTAACAGCACAAAATGCATATTATTACGTATATATACCTGTCACTACATGTGTATCCAGCTTTTCACAACCAACATTAAAATGATCAGCAGTTCCACCAGCCCCTTAAAACCAATCTTTTTCATCACTAATACACATTTTAACCACAACTACTAGTTCCAGTTTTAAACAAGCACATGACGCCAGGCTCCTTCCCCAGTTCTGTTTCCCCGAACCACTTTCCTTGTATGGAGGGTCAAAGTAATACTCAGCATCTCACAAGCAAATTGTCAGAAGAGGCTCGACTTACTATTCGCACTGGCCGATCACACCCGAATACCTTCACAACAAAGAGTTAATGTACGAGTATCTCCTATGGTCGGATTCTGCTCTCTTCAAAAAGGCGCGTCTCCACTTCCATTACATTTTGCCTAAATGATGGATGACAACATTGGGAAGGGGGTCTAGGAATCAGAAGTCTGCTGAAGCAGTTTCTCTTCTTCTAAGAAACACGATGTAGGGGTCAATAAACAGACAGAGGGTGCAAGAAAACCAAATAGTTTCCCAAAAGACATTGATCCAATTTAGGATACAAGGGTCCTTACTTTCAATTAGAACAGCAAACACATTAGCTCTTGCTGATACCAAACATTACTGGCACAATATCAAGAACAGTGCAAACATCAATAAGAATACTTTTCTTCACCCAAAAATGCTGAAGTTTACTAGAAGGCTTACTGTGCTAAGAATTTCCTTCATTTAACATCTACATTATTTTCTTCTGTGTATGTTTAAAGCGAAACCCTTAAAATTACAGACCTAAATATTTGTGTCTTAAACCTAAACTTAAAATACAATATTTTATTCCTTAGATGATGTAAAACTAACTCTTATACTGAAGCTTGCCACGTACATGAAAGGTCATTGACGAAACAGACAACGAAATATTTTTTCATGCTAATAACAGGCAGAACCTATGCAAAATATATTTTCCTCTTTTTCTCTCTTGTAAAAAATGATTCCCAATACATGTTCACATATACGTTATCTTTCAAATTTGAAAATCAATGAAAAGTAATACCCCTTAACGTTGTTTCTTCTTGGTTTGGTTACAGTATTAAGCACTTTATTATGATCCCCTTTATAACATTATTTAAACTCTGTGATTGTGCATTTTATGATTTCTTGTTAACACTATTTATGTGTATTTGGGGACTGTTTAAATCCTCCCC